TTGAAAATTGAACTTCTCGTGCCGAATCTCTTCCCCTTTCAGCTCCCGGAAAGGATGAAGGCATGGTGCAGCTGCCCGGAGGGACGTTCCAGATGGGATCCAGCTCCCTGGAGAGGAGGGGCGAGGAGGGGCCCGTCCGGGAGGTGACAGTGAAGCCGTTCGCTGTCGACAAACACCCCGTCACCAACAGGGATTTCAGGTGAGAGCGAAGGCGCTGCCGGGCGAGCCCTCGGTGCCTCGGGTGGCTGAGGGGAGGGCGCTGCTCTGGGTGTGGGTGCCGGGTCGTTTGGGGCTGGTGCCTGCGGTCTGAAAGCCAACGCTTGGGTGCTCCCAAAAATGTGTCTGTCAGTAATAAATAACCCTACGAGTGCAGGCCAAAGCATCTTACCGGTGTACCTTGCAAACATCCTTCATTTTTTTATCCTTTCCTCCTCTTTATTTCTGCTTGTTCCCTTCTCTTCCTCTTCCTTCTCTTCTCCTCATCCCCCTCCCCCTTTTTCCTCTTATTCTCCTCTTTAGCCTCTTCTTTTTCCTCTCCTCTTCTTCCTTCTCTTCTTCTTCTCCTCCTTTTCTCTTCATTTTCTTCCTTTTCTCCTGCTTCTCTTCTTTCCCCCCTTCCCTTCTTCCTTTTGTCCTCCTGCTCCTCTACTTCTCTGCTACTCCTCTTCCAAACACAGGTATTTTTTTTTCTGTGTGCCTCTTTTTTACTAATAGGGCCGTTCTACTTCAGGTTTCAGGTTCCTGTAGGTTCAACTCCCATTTGTAAATACCAGACCACTCCATGAATTTTATCAAAGCCCTTGTACGGAGCACTAATAAATGCACAGGGGGAAATGCCTTTGCTTGCCTGGCTGAGCCCTTGTTGGTTAAAAACACTTCCTTGCACCAGAAACTGCCCAGTAATGGCAATTATTGCAACTTAGGCAACGGGGAAACAAATGGTGTAGAAGCAGAGTGAGATTATTCAGTAGTATGTGACATTTTTTTGCATTTTGGGGGCATTTACAAAGCAGCTGCAGGTTTTATTGGCTTTTAAGGGATTTAGAATCTCTGCAATTGTTACATGTTATGGAAGACCTGAGTTCAGGGTGAGTTTACCTGTACAGGTAACATTTAAACGATCAGATCTGTGAACAGATGCATACTGAATGGTTTTATCTGTTAGATCTATATGGTTTTTCTGTTAAATCTATATCAATCCATATGGAACTGTGCTGGGGAGGAGCCAGGACTCTCTGGAGCAGGGGGGTGTCTGTGGGGCATGTACCTTTTGCCTTGCTCTGAACTTGCTGCATGCACACATTGCTGTATTTGGTGGGGCAGCACTTGAAGATTTCTTACCCAGAAGCCTGAGCATGTTGTATTTATGCCAGGGAGTTTGTTAGAGAAAAGAAATACAAAACAGAAGCAGAAGCGTTTGGCTGGAGCTTTGTCTTTGAGGATTTCGTGTCCGAAGAGCTGAAAAAAAAAGTCACCCAAAAACTGGAGGTAAATCTAAACCCCCCGGGGATGAGTTTCAGTGATGATGGGTTTGCTTTTCCACTGAGGAGCAGGTGCCTCTCAGTGCAGGGCCTGAGTGTTCTCAGGGGTTTTTCTTTAGTCTGGGGTGGTTTTGCTTTTGAACCTGAGAGGGTTTTGAACCCCAGGCTGAGCTGGGGTTGATTCCTGGTGCTCCTCTGTTCACATCCTCTGTGAGCGCTGTCAGAGCTGCTCCAGGGAGCTGTGACAGAGCAAAGCACGTCTCAAAGTACTTCAATAATCAAACTTTGAACAGAAAAACTAAACCAGCACGAGCCTCTTGATCTATTTTCACTCTTAAAATCAGATGCCTCTGCTCTGTGGGAAAGCACCATCCCAATGCCTGTGATAACCCAGCTCAAACTGCGGCTTTGACCCATTTCCAGACTAACACCCGCTGCTGTGGGACGGTGTCAGGGGGTGTCACCAGTTCAGGTGTCACCAGTTCACCTTTAATCTGGTGGTGTTTCTTTCCCCAGTCGGCCCCGTGGTGGCTGCCCATCGAAAAGGCTTTTTGGCGACAGGTGAGTGAAAAACCTGCTGTGGTGGATCCTCTCCGTGCTGGGAGCTCGTGTGTGTGTCAGCGTGTGCCGAACCTCAGCGACCGAAAATGGGGGGGGGGGGGGGGAAATAGCAACTCTGCTGCATTTTCCATCCCTTCACCTCCTCCACCCCCCAGTCCCTTTCTAATTGAAAATTTGATACAATCATTTCCAATCTGCTTGCTGCAATTCTTCCCAGCCCTCAGGCCCTGGCTCCAGCATAAAGGACAGGCTGGATTACCCGGTGCTGCACGTGAGCTGGAACGATGCACAGGCTTTCTGTGCCTGGAAAGGGAAGAGGCTCCTGACGGAGGAGGAGTGGGAATTTGCTGCCAGGGGAGGACTGGAGCGTATGTACCACAAGCTCTGACCCTTTTCCAAACCAAGGCATCGAGTAGTGTTAGTTCCATCAGATCCAAACCTCCATCCTGGGGTGTTTTCATAGGTTAACTGGGGGGAGAAAAGGGACGGGGAGGAGGTAAACCACTTCTTTTGGCCTGGGAGTCTAATAATAATAACAATAAGTAAATAATTAAGATGTTGCTGATTCCCATCTCTCCTCGCTTCCTTGGCAGTGTCTGTAGGGATTAGACCCACAAGCCCTGTTCATATAATTATAAAACCAATCATAAAAGCCTGGTTAAAAACTGGAGTGACACAGGAGTAACAGGTGTCTTTTCCTCCTTGGCAGAAAGGCTGTATCCCTGGGGAAACAAGTTCCAGCCAAACCGTACAAATCTGTGGCAGGTGAGATCCTAAAAATCATCCCACCTGCACTGAGCTCTCCTGAGGGTGGTGGTTAACTCAACCACTGCACTGGCTGCTGGTGCTGGGGAGCACTGGGGACTTAACTGCAGAGTACTGAAACTCAGCTCCTGGTGGGTTGTCCAAAATACCTTTAGAGAGAGCAGGGTCACCCCAGCTTCCCTGGGAAACCAGGATTTCAGTGCTTCTTAAAATTCATACATAAATTTGTTTGAAAAAGGGGGTTGTCTTGGGAGAACCTTAGGTGGTTGATCTCCTTTGGCCAGAAATGCTGCGTAAATTTGCAACAGAATGTTATTTGCCTAATTTAAGTGCGACACAGCGCCGTGAAAAGCAAGATTTTATGTTGTTTCTGTGGTGGTTCTTTGCTTGGAGTGATGTCTGTTCCCCCAGGGCGATTTCCCGCGGGTGGACACGGCTGAGGACGGTTATCACGGCGTCTCACCAGTGACAGCGTTCCCCCCTCAGAACAGCTATGGTACATCCTCCTCCTGCTCTGGGGGATCTGCTTCCTAAATTAACACTTGTTATAAAATGGTTTGAATGTTGTGCCCCCTCTCACACCCCAAAGTGCTTTTGCAGCCCTCACAAACGTGCTCTTGTAATCCTGACACAAAACCATCCCCGTCTCAGGGCTCTACGACCTGCTGGGAAACACCTGGGAGTGGACGGCGTCGGAGTTCCTGGCTCCGGGAAGGCCATCCAGGCAGGGGGCTCAGCACATGCAGGTCCTGAGAGGGGCCTCTTGGATCGACACTGCAGATGGGTCTGCAAACCACAGAGCTCGTGTTACCACCAGGTAGGTCTGGGCAAGGCCCAGGTGCTGCCTTGCAGGGATTTCCTCTGGCCTGGTTTTATTTGGAATGGAGGTTTGTTTTGAAAGATAATTATTTGTTCCTACTCAGGTTTTCTTTTGAGAAGCAGTTGGGAGAACACACTACAAATACTGCTAAAACTTTCCTGCTATAAATCCAGCCCAAACTGCTTCTCAAACCATGAGTGTTTTCCATCGGGTATTTAGAATTAAATGCTTTTCTTGAAGTTATTCAAGGGAAATGGAAGATGTTTCTAGTCTGTTACAGCAGGTCACATTAAATGATCTAAGTGTTAACTAGGAAGGGTTAATTTGGGGTTTCTTTTTCACTGTTGAGAATGGGGAACACACCAGACTCGGCCTCTGACAACCTCAGCTTCCGCTGCGCTGCCGACATCCCGCCTGTCACAGCCTGGAAAAGCCAGACCAAACCCGAGCTCTGAGGGGTCACTTGGGAAGACCTGAGGCATTTTCTCCTGTGGAGATGATCAGTAACCCCCAGCTGTCAATTCCATTAAACCCTGATGGTTTTAAAAAATTAAAAATAAATACTTTCAGCTATAACTCCTTTGGGCACTGGGATGTCTGGGCGGGAGCAGCGACCGGGAACGGCAGGCAGGGGGGTTTGTCTTTAGTATCCATTTGGTGTGGTAGATATTCCAGCTCTCCTTTTGGTGTCCTTTTTAAAGAAGCAGAGGGGGGTGTATGTGTGTGGGACCAGGCAAGAGCTTCTCTGACCTCCAGCCCCACACCCACAGCCCCCCTGTGGGGTGTGTGGGGCTGCCATGAGAGGCAGCTGGGGGGGAAGTGATGGGAGCACATCCCTGGAATGGAGATTCCTTCATATATCAGTCTCCATCCCCTCGGGAAGTCCCAGCTTCAACCACCTGCTGAGCCTTCCCAGAAATAAAAAGAGGCACCTTTACTGACCCTTGAGCAGTGACAAAATAATGTGTTTGCTGGTTTCTAAGTGCACAGGTGTCACAAACCAGTGACCCACCTCTCCCAGGTGTTACAACCAGCACAAAGGCTACAAACTGTCTGTGCACGAGCTCTGCACCAAACCTGATGGGATGAGGAGCCTCAAGCACATGGGTGGGCAGGGATACCACTCAGGGCACTGCTCATCAGTCCTGCACCTCTGACTGTCCCAAAAGGGTCATGCTCTGGTGCTGGGCTTTGCCAAGGGCTGAGCCTTCCCTGTTGGGAGCTGCAGCTGGTTATGCCTCTATTAAAAGGTGCTTCTCCAAACCCATTCTTACAGTGGGACAAACCCCAGGGGCAAATCGCAGCTGGGTCTGCATTTGCACCTGACCCAAGGCCAGCAAAAGAGAAGGAAAGAAAAAAAAAGAAATCCCCACTTTGTTTCCAGAGATTTTACTCGCCTATGGAGAGCCAAATCACAGGCTTCCACAGGGTGATCAGAACAGCTCTTCCTCGGCTGCCAGGGTCAGCAGGATGGCCTTGCAGGTGTTCTCGAAGAGGGCAGCCCTGTTCTGGGCCTCCCCCTTCTTCACCCAGTGCCGGTAGGTCCTGAAGGCACAGGCGTCGATGAGCTTCCGGACGGGCTTCAGGGCGTAGGGGTCGCGCACCACCAGCTCCCTGGTGACCGACTTCACCAGCCGGTACTGGTAGTAAATTCGGACTGAGGCCAGGACGGTCAGGCAGATCACCTGCAGCCACAGGGGGACAGGCTGGAATCCCTGGGCACTCCTACAACACGGCCAGGTCGGCCCCAGCGCGTCCCATGCGGCCGCTTATCCGTGTGGAGGAGCTGGGAGAGAGCCCGGCTCCTGGCACAGGTGTTTAGTCCATGAGGGGCTGGCAGAGGGCATGGATTTGTGCCAGGGAATCATAGAATGGTTTGGGTTGGAAGGGACCTTAAAGCTCATCTTGTCCCAGCCCCCTGCAGTGGGCAGGGACACCTTCCACTAGACCAGGTTGCTCCAAGCCCTGGCCTTGAACACTTCCAGGGCTGCAGCATCCACAATTTCTCTGGGCAACCTGTGCCAGGGCCTCCCCGCCCTCACAGAGAAGAATTTCTTCCTTATATCTAATCTAACCCTGCTCTCTGTTAGTGTAAAGCTATTCCCCCTCATCCTGTCACTCCAGACTCTTGTCCAAAGTCCCTCTCCAGCTCTCTTGGAGCCCCTTTAGGCACTGGAAGGGGCTCTGAGGTCTCCCTGGAGCCTTCTCTTCTCCAGACTTAACAACCCCATCTCTTATATGTTTTTTTTGGAAGGAGAGGCAAGTTTTTCCCTTCTCCTGTGATAGGAAGTACCAGTGCACTGAAGTGCTTGGATAGCAATCCTCACCCAGGCTGCCGCATCCTCCCAAAGCCCAGCTCCATCAGCCTTGCTGAACTCCCAGTTTCTCTCGGCTCAGCTGGGAAACCCCTCCTCCTGCTGGCTCCTGCAGCTCCCAAGCTCCTCCTCACCTTGAATTTCCGGAAGGGGCTGAAGTGCCGGACCTCCTCCGAGTCGTACTGCTGGAAGAAGGGGTGTGCCAGCGCCTGTCCAGCCGTGTACCGCTGCCGGGGGTCCACCACCAGGAACCGGGAGATCTGCAGGGGGACACCCAGATGTATCCCAGGTGTCTGCAACACCCCCCTCCACTCCGACTCTTCCCATCCCAAGCACCTACCAGGTCCTTGACGGTGTCGGAGCGGTCGTCCCACTCCGGGGAGCTGAACTGGTAGTCCCCGTTCATGATCATCCGCAGCATCAGCATCTGCTTGCGGTGCCAGAAGGGAGGGGAGCCGGCCAGCAAGGTGTACATGATCACCCCGGTGCTCCACCTGCAGGCAGCCCAAACTGAGCCTCCAGCCCCCCATGTGGCACCTCAGCGGTGGCTACACTTGCCTTTGCCTCCCTGGAAAACCAGGAGGAAACTGCCCTGGGTGGTGTTAATGAGGGCAGCTGAGCTGCTGCTGAGGCTTGTTAACTCTGAGGGGTGATGAGGAGCAGGGGCTGCCCTGCTGCTGGGGAGGGGTTTGAGCTGAGCTGATGTGGAGCTGCTCCCTGGATGCTGCAGGATGAAGCTGAGAGATGGAGGTATTTGCCTTTCTTGGGTTTTTTAGGGGAAGGAGAGGATGTGGGAGGGTGGGATGCAGTGGTGCTCTGAGATGTTCAGCTCAGGCTGTGGTGTGCAAAGTGTCCTGCCAGGGCAGTTAACAGTGATATTTAAACTGGAAAGGGACTGAAACGCCCTGGTGTGTTTTGAGTGCTTGGTTACGGCTCTGACCACTGAGGACCTGAGCCTGAAGCCAGCAGAGATGGTGGCAAAGTTCCTGTGGGGCTCTGACAGGCTGTCCTGAGGTGGCTGGGGCTGCCTCGGGTTCATGTATGTTTAAACAAGGTGTGTGATGTGTCTTGGAGCTCAGCTGAGTTGACTTTTATGAACAGAAAGTGTTGCTTTGCTTCCTCCCTGATGGGGCAAAGGCTGCTTCTCCCCCTGCTCTGTGCCTGAGCTCCCTGGTCACCAGGACAGCCCCTTGCAGCTGCCAGGGTTGTCATTTAACTCTTTTCAAACACTCTAATGGGTTTCTATTGGCACAACTCTGGCTGTGCCTCAAACCACGTGTGTTTTGGGAACAGCCCAAGGGGAGGTGTGGGGGCAGCGTCTCACTCACATATCGACCTCCTTCCCGTAGCCTTGGTGCTCGTCATCCATGGAGCACTGCAGGATCTCAGGGGCCAGGTATCCAGGTGTGCCACAGATCTCTGAGGAGACAGGGCAGAGCATCCCCCTGAGCCACCCAGGGGGTTTGTGCCACCCCCACCCACCCCCGAGCAGTCAGTGAGGGGGAACTGGATCCCAGGTGGGATCTTTGCTGTGGGATGGAGTGCTCCCAGGAGTAACTGCAACTCAGAGGTGGCTTTTCTTGGTGAGTTATAGTGGCTAAAAAGCGAGTGAACAGAGGGATGGGGATGCTGCTGGGAGGGATTGCCTGTTGTTGGATCTGTGGCTCTTTGCAGGTACGAGTCGGGGGAAAAAATGTTGGGCAGTACGTGGATGGGGTAATGAGGATCAACTCATTGATGGAGGAAAAAAGACATGGAAAGAATAGGATGGTTTTCCTAAGGGGCAGCAACTTTTTCATGGCAAGGGGAGTGGTGTGGAGGCCGAGGGCAGGCAGAACTCGTGTGTGAGCAGGAGAGCACCCCAAGACCAGCACCAGTTTGCACCCATGGCAGAGACTGGCCCAAGGAGATAGTGGGGCTGGAAAAACTCCACTGACTCCCATGGGCACTGCAACAACATTCCAGCATCACCCTCACCATGCCATCCTCCTACCTTTGAGCTTCTCATTCTCGTTCAGCTGGCAGGAGAAGCCAAAATCTGTCAGCTTAATGTTCATGTCATCATCCAGGAGGATGTTCTCCGGCTTCAGGTCCCGGTGGACAATGTTGATGGAATGGAGGTACTGGATCACTTCCAGCAGCGCTCGCATGATCTTCCTGGGGATGGATGGCAACACATGTCCTATCCCAAATGCACCACGCTCCCAGGGGTGGGGATGGGGAGAGGGACACAGCACAGGAGCACAGCCTGGGGTGCTGTTTTGTCCATGGGTGCCGTGCTGGCTGCAAGGTTGTCCCTCAAAACCACACTGTGCTTTTGCAACATGATTTTCAGCCATCTGCCTCTGGCCTTACCTGGTTTCTTTCTCACTCAAGGTGACTTTCTCGGTGAGGTAGTCGAAGAGCTCCCCTCTCTTCATCCTGCACGAGGTGGGGGAAATAGAGTCAGGCAGTGGCTGAGCTGTAATGGCAAACCAGGGTGGTGGCACCCAGGGGTTGCTGCCCCTTAACAACCCAGGGCACCCATTGCACAAAATAAACAGCTGACTTGTTAGTAAGAAGAGGTAAAAATGCCTTTATATATTTCTGTAAAACATTGGGTGGCAGGAGAAAAGGCTGTGTCTAGAGAGGGCAGGTTTTGGACAGAATCACAGTATTGTTAAGGTTGGAAAAGACCTTTAAGATCAAGTCCAACCATGAAAGATGGGACAGGGACGGGGCTCTCGCAGTGCCATCCCCCTCCACTGACATCCATCCCACTGCCCTGGCATCGAGAGCTGTGGCATCACAGACACCCTGGTCCCACTGAGCATATAAATAACCCACAGGGGTGCATGACAGCTCCCACCAAATGTTACAGGGAAACCTGAGCTGCTGACGGAGGGGAAACAGTGCTGGCAGCAAAGCTGCAATGAGCTGGCTCGATTCTACCTTAAGAAAAAGCTGGTTGTGCCCCAACTTTGCCCTGTCTGGGCCATAAAAATCTGGGGCCAATCTGCAGAGAGGGAATGGGCCTGGGATGCTGGGCAAGCTGGTACTTACAGGTCAAACACCAAGAAGAAGAAGGTGCTGGATTCATAGCTGTCCTTCAGCTGGACTGCAATAAAACAGGGGGGCTGTGAGCATGTTCCTGTCTGTTAACAGGCTAAAATTGCTGATTTAATTGCTGATAGAATTAATGGGGAGTTGATCTGCACTAGTGTTTTGGCTGGGAGACAGCATGGGCACTGCTGGTGTGTGTGTCGAGGCAGAACAAACAACACTCTGAGCAGGTCATGTTACGACCATCAGAGCTCTGACCTTCCAGGGATTTCATCCCAGAAACCCTTCCTGGGGGACACGCTGGAGAATTAAACAGGGCAGAAAACCCCCTTGCCCTGACTTACTGACGTTGGGGTGGCCTGAGACTTTGCGGAGGATGTCGATCTCCTTCGTGGTGGCTTCCCGCAGCTCCTGCACCTCCTTGGGGGAGATGTTTCCCGCCGTGATGTCGATGATCTTCACGGCATATTCCTGCCTGGTGGTTTTGTGGATGCACCGACGGACGACGCTGCTCACCCCCCTGCCAGGGACAACACAGACAGGATGGGGGTTCCACTCCTGCCCACCCAACCCGACCCCACGGCCGTGCCATCGGCACCTGGGCCGGTCGGTATTTCATGCACGAGCGGGTCTCGCTCTGTCGCCCTGTCTCGGTGGGACAGGAGGTTTTTGAGCTGATGGAAAGTGCTGTTCCATGCTATTTTTAGCCCCATGCTGCTGTGGGCCCTGTTTGTATCAGATTCCCAGGGAACACTGTTCCTATCGGGTACTGGAATGCGTGAAACCAAAACAAGCTGTTTGCCAAGAACAGGCTTTACCTGCCCAAAACCTCCTTCGGCTCATATTTTTCATAAAACTCCTTGGATGAGTTCCAGTCTGGTAGCTCTTCTTCCTTGGTCATCTCTGGCTCCTATCTGGCAGCACTCTGGGCTCGTCTGCAGGCACAAAGGGACTGCAAGGAGAAAAGAGTGAGGACAGGCACTGGCTGCCCCCGGGGCTGGGACCCTTGATGCCTTCTGGAGGAGAAAATACTGAGGAGGAAGGAGGAGGAGGAGGACAATCCTGGACCGAAGACCAACAGGATTATTTTTCTGGTTGGAAAAGCCAAGCTTTGCCCTTGGGACCTTGTGGAGATCCCACTGAGAACAGGAGAAATCCCACTGGATTCCCCCATAGCCTGGCTGTCCCAAGGGGCAGAACCAGCCTGGCTGGGGCAAGGCTTTGGGGAGCACTGCAGCACCTCAAAACCTGATCCCTTCCCCACACCCAGCTCACAGGGCAAGTAGGAACCTTCAGGATCATCATCCCATGCCAACACCACCCAAAGTCCCTTGCCAAGCGCTGGAATCTGCCTTTTTTTTCTTTCCTTTTTTTTTCCTTATTATTTTTAAGACGACAAAATTATCTTTCCCTGAGAACAAGGAGGAAAAAATAGTGTTTAAAGGGAAGGGAAAAGGACTAAGGAGGGAAAACAGGTGGTGAGAGCCAGTGAAGCAGCAAGAGGGGCTCAGTGGGTCAGTGTGCAGGTGGGGAACTGAGTGCTGTGGGGTCAGTCAGGGCCAAGCCAGCATGAGGACAGCAGCTGAACAAGCTTCCTCAGCCACTTGTGTGCAGCTGCCAGCAGGCTCCAAAACTCCTGTAAGGCTCTTATCTCATTTCTTTTTCCTATTCCTATTCTTTTTCCTATTTCGGGGTTGGGGTTTTTTGCCGGAGGAGCGGTTTGACAGTATTTTGGAAGGGGCGTGGGATATCATCAGTACTCCTTAATTTTTACTGGCTTTTCCCTTTAAGCTCTGGGAACTGGATGTCTTCAGCTTCTTTCTGTGCCCATACACGGAGTCCAAGCAATTAGGATGGAAAGCAGCTCTTACAAGCTTGGGCAGCAAAACTGTCACTTTGGGGTGACAGTTTGTTGCTGGGCAGGGGAGAGAGGCAGGCAGGAGATCCCCAGTACTGCAGGCTTTTCCTCACCCCCCCTCTCCAGGGCACTGGCATCTCTAAGTACATTTAAATCTCATTATCAGTGTGTATCTGTCCTGACCTGGTTGTAAAGACCGATGGGGTGTTTTGGGTGTCTGGCTGTTGCTGCTGGGAGTGATGTCTAACACGGGCTGTTCTAAACAGCTGTAAGTTCGACTTCATTTATAAAACTTTAGCCGTTGGAAATATTACAAGCAATGCCAAAGCAAGCCTGAGCTGGAATTATAAACGAGAGGCGGGATCAGGAAGTAGGGAAAATAAAATATCTCTGAGGTGGAGGAGAACCAACAACTTTGATTCTTTTTGAAGTGAAAAAATCCACATCCTGGAGGGGTTGGTGTTGTGGGGAAGGGCTGGAGGTTGGGGGGTGCATCCGTGGAGCACTGCCGGGAGAAGTGTGGGATCCATGTGCCGCCTTCTCCTGGGACGAGAGAGCCCGGGAGTTTGTGCATTACACCCTGGAATTATATAAGCAGCCGGTCCATGGCACTAACGGGATACGCTGGGACTGCAGGGAAGGGGCAAAGGGGGGAATTTTCTGTCTGGGGGAGACGCGCCGGGCATCGCCCCCCGCCCGCAGCTGCCACCGGGGAGGGGGTCCAAAGTTCGCCTTCATCGATATCAAATAACGTGCAAATACCGACCGGGATAAACCTGGAAAGCTCAAGCTAAACTCAGCTTTTAGGCCGGTTTTTAGCACTGGAGCTCCCCCCTCTCGCCCCCGGCCGAAAACCGGCTCCAGCAGCGCCGCCGACCCCCCTCCAAGGGAGACGGGGGGGGTGTTTCTACCGCGACCCTCCCGCCGCCGCACCCGGAGACAAATAAAAACGCTGAAAAAACAGGAGTTCTGCGGGGCAGCGACACCCCCACACCCTCACACACCCCACCCCACCACCACCAGCGCCTTTTTCGCCCGCCCCGAACGCGGCCGGTCCCCCCCGCCCCGGCGGGGCCTCACCTCGCTGAGGGCGGCCCGGGCTGGGCCCAGGCCTGGCGCCAGGAGCCGCCGCCGGGAGCCGGGCGCTCGGGGCCGGGATCCGAGCGCTCAGGGCCGGGATCCGAGCGCTCAGGGCCGCCCGCCGCCGCCCGGCCGCGGATGAAGCGCAGCGCGAGTTGGCAGCGGCGGGCGCCGGGCGGGCATGGCCGGGCAAGGGGCGAGGGGGGGGCCCGGGGGCCGCCCCGGAGCTGCGGGACTTCCCCGCCGCGCCGCCCGGGTTTAATTAACCCTTGGGCGGCTGAGCCCCGCGGGGCCCCCGCGCCGCTCGCTCCTCCCGCGGGGGTGTTGCCGTGCAGGCGGCTGCGGCATCCGGGATTCCCCCGGTGCGTCGCCAGGCCCGCCCGGGGGCAGCGCTGCGGGGATGGAAAGGGCGGGCGGGGGTGGGAGCGTGGAGTCGGGGAATTATCAAGGTGGGAAAGGAGCTTTGAAGTCATACAGTCCAGCCGTGCACCCAGTAACCCCTAAACCACATCACGCAGCTCCTCTTGAACACCTCCAGGTATGGCGACTCCACCACCTCCCTGGGCAACCTGTTCCAAGGTGACCTGACCACCCCAACAAGGAAAAAAGTTTTTATAGTATCTAATCTGAATTTCCTGTCTCATCTTAAGGCCATTTCCTCTCACAGCTTGGCCCAAACTGGCTTTATTTCTGTTGCACCTCGGAAGTGAGCTGGGAGCTTCATCAGCAGAGGCAAAGCTACTCATGTCACCGGCCCTCATTCCTCATGTGTGAGGTGACCCTTCCCCCAGGAGTTGGACTTGATGACCCCGATGGGTTCCTTCCAACTCAATATTCTATGATTTTGAACACTGATTTAATCCTTTCACTTCCAGGAACTGCAGAGAAGAAAAGGGCTTTAGGAACAGGCAGAATATCCAGCAGGATAAAAGCAGTTCAGGAAAAACAGGTCATGCCATAAAAGGTATTTTTATCAGGAATTGCACTTTTCAGAGCAGGGTTATTCCCCACCACACTCCCATGTAGGAGTACACTCTATCCAGGGTTTACCAGAGAAGTGCAGCAAGGTGTTTACTCTGCAAGCTCCAAGGATTTGAGCAAGGCATGAGCTGGTTGCTCCCTCCGATGGAAAGAGGAGGGTTTGCATTTTGCACCAGTAAATACTCTTAAAATAGTGACGATTATTATTCTTGGTTCACGCAGCAGCAGTGGCTTTGCCACCTGCCCGAGCCAGGCAGGAGGGAAAGGCCACAGGACCATCCTCTAATCTTTCAGCCCTCAGCTCCTGTCACAGGATGAAGGAAACACCTACAGCTTCTGTGTTACTGGGAACTGGAGTGTGATGCTCAGAATCCCTTGAATCTGAACACAGAGCTTGTTCTTAAGGTATACAGGACGTTGCTGGAGGACTGACATCCACTGTGCATAACAGTGTAGAGTCAGCCACAGCCTTCCCTATCACTACCCATTTCCATCAGCAGAAGTTGCCTGTGGGGTGCAAATGCTCAAGGAGGAGATACCTGGCAGGCAGAGGCTGAGCTACCAGCATTCCTGAACTCCTCCTGCAGCTCCAGCCCTCCGGGCACCCTTGCTGGCAGCACAGCTGCCAAAATCAGTTCTCACCTCGTCACCCTTGCAGTTCAACTCCAACACTCAAACTCAACAAGCACAGATGGTACTTCTGGAGAGAGAAGTTTATTCATACACCATATCACATATATCCAACACGAGCAGCAAACCAGTGAACCCACATTAGCTCATTCTGCTTTTATTGTTCCTTCTTCCATTTTGTGCTAAATTAATCTGCGGCTGTTTGTTAAGTTGTATCACATCAGAGGCAGCTATGGCAGGATGAGTGTGAATATATGAACTAACAAGATATCAGACAGCTTTAAACTTTATTATTGAAGCTTTTTTTTTTTTTCATTCATAGGTCAGTTCTTGAAAGATGGTCTTCAGCAGCCTTGTCCTGCAGGCTTAGGCCAAACCTGCAAGGTAAGGAGTTATGTCAGTAAGTTTGGGATCCCTGAATGGCAGCTGGTTTTCCTTGCCATAAAGCAGATTTGCTAGGATGTTCCCCCTTCCCCTCATCCATTTGCTGGGACATGATGAACTGCAGACACCAGCAGAGCACCCTGGTGTGCAGCATCCCCACCCTCCCAGGTCAGGATGGTTTGGCTGTTGTCCTTCCTACAGGCTCACAGTGCTCTGCTGATTCTCCAAGTGCGCTGCTGCCACTTTCCCGGTCAGCTTCAATCCATGCACCAGCACAAAACTTCAGGAATTCACCCTCTCTCCACCCCATCACCTCCAGCTACATGTACAGGACCAAAGCAGGAAGCCCAACAGAACAGCAGCTGCTTTACCTAACTTTGGTGCACCTGCCATCACTCCCCATTCCTCACCAGACAGATCAAAACCCCAGGACATCATTCCCACAATAATTCTACTGATTAGCCCATGTAGTAGTTTACTGTCAGCACTGCCTACTTACCATTAGCAAACCTGCACTGCTTCAGCACCTCGCTGAAGCCCTCACACAGCTTGAGGTCAGTCTGGTTCTGTGCACACTCCAGGAATTGTTTGATCTCGTACTGGCAAGGACCAGCCTGCTGCTGCTGCTGGGCAGCCTGAGCTGCCTGGGGCTCCTGAAACAGCACACAACCCTGTAAGGGCCCTTCCAACAGCTCCAGCTCAAAGCCAAACCACCCCCGTGCTGCTGGCTGAGGTTTCTTTCCTGTGTTTTAGTGAAAATGTTGCTTTTTAAATGGAAAAAATTATAATGGACTGAAGTACAAAGTAAGTTTCCAGCAGTGGCACGACACATTCAGAGTAGTTTTTTAAGTGAGAAACACTTGGGTGATTTTGGATATGCTCAGGTAACTCTGAATGGCATCTGGGCAAAAAAATGTCTGAGCAGCACAAAAAGGTCTTGCAATAGATCTTACTATCATCAGACCTGGAACATGGAAGTCCTGCCTGAATAAGGGGAACACTACAGTAGAAAACAACACCCTGCCACAAGCATACATCACTCGTGCATCCTTCTGAGCTACTTTTAAGATACTCGTGGTGAGTGTGGTGCTTATCTTGGAGATTCAATTTAACTACAGACTATATATGATTATATATATAGTCTATATACAGAGAGATTCTAATTATATACTTTAGCTGTGACTTGTGAGGTGTTTTATGTCACTAGCAACTACCTCAGCCCGTAGGCTGATCTGTCAAGGCACTAGTAGTGTCCCGCTGTGCTTTCCCTCACCTGGTAAGTGATATCGGGCCGAGCAGCCTCGTGGCCACTCCCTCCACTGAACCCTCCGGTGATGGCGTGGCCGATGGTGTGTCCCACGGCCGAGCCCACGGCGACCCCGGCGGCGGTCGAGGCCATCTGGGCCATCAGCCCTGGCTGCCTCGGCGCCGGAGCCGCCACGGCAGAAGGCGGAGCCGCGGCCGGGACCTGGGCCCGAGGAGCCGGCGCTGGGGACGCGGCTCTCATCGGCGGGGCCCGGCTGCGATGAGAGAGAGAGAGAAGCCTCATATCGTTATCACCATCACCATCACCATCACCATCATCATCATCATCACTCCAAACCGCTCCGGGCAGAGCCCACGTGGCTGCAGGGCCAGGAGGTCACTGTCCCTCCGGAAGAGTCACAGTTACACCCCGAGGGCAGGAACTCGGTGTTCTGGTGAGCGACTTATGCAAGACAGGGTCATATTTACAGGCTTCTTTCTGGCTGTTTTAAAGCCTCGCCGTCCCCCCATTCCACAAAGGACTGCAAAATCTTGCGCAAAAAAATGAGGTATGACCCAAATGGGGTTGATTAACCCTTAAGGGTTAATAAGGCCTTAAAGTCCAGACGGGGGATGGCCAGGCCTTGTGGCCGAGCAGACCCACTTCCACCCTCCTAACAAGCACCCAGTCCCGCTCCCCCAGAGCCACCGCAGCTCCAACCCGCCGGGCCGCAGCGGCCTGTCCGCCATTGCACTGCGGCCGCTGCGGCCTGCGCGGGGCCCTCAGGAAGGAGAGGGGACGGAGAGGAGGAGGCGGCCCGGGTGGCCCTCACCTGGCGGGGGGCGGCACCCGGGACGTGCGGCTGCGGCTGCCCCTGGGCATGGCGGCGGGGAGCAGAGCAGGAGCCGAAGCCGGAGCGGAGGGAACTCGGAAGAAAGAGAAAGCGCGGCCTGTCCCAGCACCCGCCCGCCTCCTCTGAAGGTCACCGCGTGCGCGTCACTTCCGCGTGCGCGCGGGTGGGGGTGGGCGGGGCCTTGTAGAAGCCACGCCCCCCGCCCGCCTGCGGGGACGCGCGGGAACCGCCGCGAGGGGCCGTGATGGCGGCGGAGTCTGCGGTGAAAATAAACGCGTAAAGGGCGATAAACCCGCGCCTGCCGGACCCTCAGGGCAAAATAAACACATAAACGGCGATAAACCCGCGCCTGCGGGACACTCGGTTCAAAATGAACACATGGACTGCGGTTTAAACCCGCGCCGGCGGGACCCACAGTCGCAATAAATACCTAAGCTACGGTTAAACGTGTTCCAGCCCTCAGGGAATCGTTCTCTGTGGAGAAGGAACCCCCCCAAAAGCCCTTCAGAATTCAGCCCTTCGGTAGAATTGAAGGTGTTGGATTTTAGCCCAGAGAAGACTGAGGGGATCTCATTAATTATAGGTATATATACATATATATACACAAATATGTGTATATAAAAATATGTATGTATACATGTATATATATGCATATATTTATATAAATATGCATATAGATATATATGTGTATGTATTTATGTGTATATGCATATATATAAAAGATATCTATATGTGTATATATGTATCTAAATGTATATATGTATATACGTATCTAAATATATATATATTATATATTTATAGATATATTTATATATAAAATAAATAATTGTTATATATAATTTATATATATTTATTTATTTATATATATATATATGGTACATGTATGATATACATATATGAGATATATGAGCTGCCCCCTCAGCTCCATGCACAAGGTCATCTGCATGGGCTGACTCTCCCTGCTTTAGAATCACTGTCTACTTGGAGAAATGTATTTTTTAATCAATTTATTCATTATTGTATTAATTATTTTTATAGACAGCAGCAATTATAAGGGATACGTCATGACAGCGCCACAGTCACCAGCCGGGATAATTCATGACAAAAAATTGCTTGTTCACAGTTTCTTCAGTTGTAAAGGAGGGAGCTGTATAAGATTAGTCATTTCAACATCTTCTATGTCAGAGGATGTAACTCTTGTCTGATG